CGACACCCATCCATCACAGTGACAGACCATCGCTCCCCCTTATCACAACAATACACTCACAACAAAAAACATGCTGACCACCATAATCACCCAATCTCCAGAAAAGGACAAAAGCTGATCCCACAGCTATAAATACAGTGGGTCCTCGACTTACAAACTTAATCCGTTCCCGAAGTCCATTCGTAACTCTAAAAGTTCGTAATTCGAAACCATTTTCCCCATAGGAATGCATTGAAAACCATTTAATCCGTTCCGGCTGTTATTGGTTCTTAAGTCAAGGGGCAGTTCGCAAGTCAATTCATTAGTTCCCATAGGAACTAATGCAAAGCTGCTTAGTCCATGCCTACCACTAGGGGCAGAATTTTTTCTCTTTTTTTCCCTTCCGCCCCTTTCCCCCCTTTTTTGGTTTGTAACTTGATTCCGCGTTTGCAAGTAGGGTCTATTGTTTCCTATGAGATCGGGTTCGTAACCCGAAATGTTCGCAACTAGGGCCGTTTGTAAGTCGAGGGCCCACTGTACTCGATTATCTCACAAAACTGCACCAGAGCACAGATAGAGTTCTGACTCCTGTCCTCTGAAGATGCCGGCCACAGAGACTGGCAAAACGTTAGGAAGAACAACCTTCAGAACACGGCCAAACAGCCTGAAAAACCTACAACAAACATGGACTTAACTTGCAATAACTTTAGAAAAAGGTTTATTAACTACAGACTTTAGTATTTAGGTAGCAAAGGTCAAAATATAGTATTGGAGTGGAGAAAGAAAGAAAGAAGGTATTTGATTTATATATTCTAGGTAAGTTTCCTTAGCTGTGAAGAATGTTTCTAAACTGGATAAACCACCCCCTAAAGCTGGATGGCATGGATGCAAGTAAGGATGGAGAGAGCCATCAGAGAGCGCGTGCCCAGGCAATCTCCATCTTGGAAAAGGGGCCCTTCTTCAAGGAAGAAGGCATACAAGAGCGAGGAGAGGCAGGAAGTGACCGAGGCACAATAGTGCCCTAATAGCAGGGTAGAACTGAGTGATTGGCAGAATCACCCACTGCATACTGGGACGCTATTGATCCTCATACTCCAACACTGGAGAGGGTACAGTACCTGCAGTTTCAGGGTGAAGTGCATTCCCTGCTTGGACTTGGCAGCCATTTTTTCTCTACTTCGAGATTAATAACTCTACGATATCTCTGTAGGCTTTTCAAGGAATGACGAGGTGGATGAAGACGTTCACAACACTGGTGAGTGGAAGTCAATGTCTTCCCTTCCTGCCATAAAACAATAATAACTGGTGACAACTGTGCTTCCTTCTTAAATCCTTGCGTCCTCTTGCTCTTACTGATTGTTAAACAGTTTTGACCTGTGGAATTAACGCCTGGTCTAATAGCCAGAAAGGTAATATTGAAGAACAGATAGAGGACATTGTCAGAAGACACAAGAAAAGTGCAAATGGAAGAAATCATCTGCTAATGCTCGCTGCGGCTATACAGTTCGGTGAAACTGGCAGGGCAATTATGTACACAATCAAATCCTTGCTTTAAAAAAAAGAAGAAGTAATGAAAGCTGGTGTTTAGCGTAATCACTGAAGCCAGTCTTAAGGAAAAAACTTTATTAAAGTGGAATACATATTCTATGTTTCTATAAGAGAGAGAGAGAGAGAGATAAGTGAAGAGATGTGGGCGCCAGTGAAGTCAATCCTCAGAGTATCAGTCTGTGGGACGGGGAAGCAACAGAGTAGAGGATAGAGGAAGAGAACTGCCAATACTGCAGGGAAGCCTAGCCAGCTGAATCTACCAGTGTTTCACCCCCTTGGGGCACACAGTCACTTGTGTGGATATTTAGAGGATTGAACCATCCCTGTGCCATTTTCTCAATTTAAATTCCCTTTTCTCCAGAAACTGCTGTTACTGGCAAAAGTGGGGGAGGTGGGCTGCCACAGTACGGATTCCCCCAATATATCAGGGTAATAATGGTGGATCCTGTTCCCAACAGCACGAGCAGAAGAAGGGAGGATTCAAACAATAAGTGGGCAATCCAGATTCACAGGTGAGAAATATGTTTCCTCAATTTTAATTTTTTCCATAGGAGAACAATGGTTTGTTTTTGCTCACTGTCATGCCATAATGAGCTCTTTAATGTGATTGCATCCACTGTCTCTTTTCCCAGTCTTTGAGATGCTCCTTTATTTGTTTGAATAGGACAGACAGCTGACATACGGCACAATCAGCGGCAGGAGCCTGTTGTGACCTTCCGGCCTGACCAAAGTAGGTGCAGTGCATAGAGCAGTGAATATTGATCTTTAAAACACAGGTACTATAATCATGATCTTGGTTAGGAAATCTTTATCTAAATCAAAATCAAGCACATGGTCTGAAAATACCTAGAAGCAGGTACTTGTCTTGAAGGTCGGTTGCAATAAATTAATGTTGCATTCAACATGTTGGGCAGGCACACAACTTCTGCGTTCAAGAAACCAGATATTTAACTGCTGCACCCTGCTTTGCCGTTTGCTTTCCAGAGACTGATGATGGATTATTAAAAACAACAACTATTATTGTTGTTTAGTTGTGTCCGACTCTTTGTGACCCCATGGATGAGAGCACGCCAGGCCCTCCCAGAGTTGGGTCAAATTCATTCTGATAGCTTCAATGACACTGTCCCCTTCTCTTGCCTTCACACTTTCCCAACATCAAGGTCTTTTCCAGGGAGTCTTCTCTTCTCATGAGATAGCCAAAGTATTGGAGCCTCAGCTTCAGGATCTATCCTTCCAGTGAGCACTCAGGGTTAATTTCCATAAGAATGGATAGGTTTGTTCTCCTTGCAGTCCAGGTGACTCTCAAGAGCCTCCTCCAGCACCACAATTCAAAAGCATAAATTAGTCGGCGATCAGCCTTCTTTATGGTCCAGCTCTCACTTCCATATAGCACTACTGGAAAAACCATAGCTTTGACTATGCAGACCTTTGTCGGCTAGGTGATGTCTCTGCTTTTTAAGATGCTGTCAAGGTTTGTCATCACTTTCCTCCCAAGAAGCAGGAATTTTATAATTTCGTTGCTACTGTCACCATCTGCAGTGATCATGGATCCCAAGAAAGTACAATCTGTCACTGCCTCCATATTTTCCTCTTCTATTTGCCAGGAGGTGATGGGGCCAGTGGCCATGATCTTAGTTTTTTTTTAATGTGGAGCTTCAGATCATTTTTTGCACTCCCCTCTTTCACCCTCATTAACAGGTTCTTTAATTCCTCCTCACTCTCTGCCATCAGATCATCATTTGTTGTGTCAGAAACCAGACCATTCCTCTTTCTTTTTTCTGAAGTGCCCAAATAGTGTCATTGTAATGTTTTCTGCTTTCATTTACACACACACAGAGCGGCTTTCTCTCTTTGTGTCTTTCTGCTGCTTAGCCTCAGTTTCTGAGTCCCCTCTTCTGTTTGGCTGCTCTTTGTTTCACTACAGATTATGTTGCTGTAGAAATCTCATCCTCAACATCCTACAATATGTTTTCCTTCAGAAAAGGTGGTTTCTCATCTACAAGTAAATTAACTTCTTTCATATTGCATTTTTGTAGGATCACCGGAATCATCCCACTGTTCCTGCAACTACTGTTCCAGTTTGTGTACATAATAGGCTTCACAAGGGTGTGTTTTCATCTGTATGAATGTGGACAATGGACATTGTCTGTGAGGCAGGAGATAAATTAGAACATTTCCATTTATGTCTATGGGCCGAAGGATGCAAATAGAGTCTTCAGCAAACTCTGAACGTATTCTTTGTTTTCTTCTCTGCAGGAGCTCAGGTGTTTCCCAAACAGACATGGCAGGATAACCAAGGTAAGGTCTTCGTAGGACAGTAGACTCGTTGTGGCTTTGCAAGGTTGGCAGCAGGGATGGAGACTTGAGCTGTAGAAGTTGCTAACAAGGCGGACGTAAGTCACACCGGGGACTCGACTCAGGTTTTTTTTGTCTCTCCAATGACTTGGACTTGATTTGTGACTTAGAACCCACACAACCCCCCATTTTTTGCGAGACAGGAAGCTTATTTTCAATGGGGACTCAGACTTAGGGCTTGGGACTTGGTACCAAAAACTTGGACCTAGGATCCAGACCCAAAGTTTGGCCAACATCCCTGGTTGCCAGGTCACCAGTTTCAAATTCCTGGAGGTGTCCAGGCCAAAATCTGGCACTCAGAGATTGGTCCTTGCCATGTCATCAAGGTAGAACAGGCAAAGATTGGGGAGGGGAAGATTTTCAACATCGTTTCTGGATCACACAATAGTGGAAATTGACATGGGGAGAATCCAGGTAAAAGGGCCCAGAGCCTCAATAAAATCCAGCTAACCAAATAATATGGTGACCAAGAGCCAGGAGGGGGAAAAAAAACCCTCCTTTTCACCTGCCTGGAAGTTGTAGCGTTTGTGTGAGTCTCACAGGATTCCCTCTAGGGGCCTGGTGGCTGAGGAGTCCCAGGCAAAAATTTCATGGGTTCCAGCCTGGTTTTGTCACTCACAGCCGTTTTTATTAAAGCTGCAATGTCAGCCCCAACTGCCTCTTCCCCTGCATTCCCAGGGGGTTGCGTTTTGGGCTCTAATCCTCTGTTCACATTCCATCCAACTGGGCCCTTGGTTGGCTTCACTGCGGTCCCTGAGTGTCCAAGTCCAGAGAACTGGGTGGGAAATATATTGATCAGGGGATGGTAAAGACAGGCAAGGGGAAACTGGGTTCTGTGATGCTGTTCTTCCAGCCTCCGTTGCCGCTTGTGTTTCCAGTGTCAAAGCTGGGTTGGGCATGGCAGCTCCTACGAGACCTGGCCACCCTAATTACCGTCAAGATGGACAGTAAAACAGCAAACGTGGGCACAGGAATAGGGGCCAGGGCCTGCAAAAACAGGTAGAGTGTTAACATACAACCTAGGAGCTGTGTTTTGACTGATCTTGGATTAGACCTCCTTATCTGGGCCTAGTTTCATAGCATTTCCTGTTTCTGCTCATCTCATCCCAACAATGACACTTCCGCAGGCTTTGAAGATGACAGAGGGCAAGGAGCAACGTCCACTGGGAGACAACAAGGCCTGTATGGTAAGTAGCAGTTCTCCTTTAGAGTCAGAGGACAAGAGTTAGTAGGTCATAAGTGAAATGCTGCCTCCCCTCTTGCTTGATTTTCTGGATGAACAGGAAAACAGTGTCCTTTTGCTCCTTCACTCTTAACGTAGGCATCTTGTAACCAGGCCGGGGGGGCATCCATCTAAATTTTGGAATAAAGGGTTCCCACTTGTTCGTGGATGAACCACCCCATATCTTAACCTTTTTAAGCACTATGTTGCAGAACTTCAAAAATATAAGGTTGAGAGGCCAGGGCCCATGCTGGCTAAGGAATTTTTTGCCATCTAAGAGCCAAAGAGAGCAAGCTTTGAGCCTCCACACTGTGAAATTTGATGTGATACTGATGATGTTTAAAAGGTCCTTATTTTCTGTGCAATCTATTTTAACTCTTGATAGGTAAAGGTAAAGGTTCCCCTTGACATTTAGTCCAGTCGTGTCCAACTCTAGGGCATGGTGCTCATCCCTGTCTCCAAGCCATAGAGCCAGCATTTGTCCAAAGACAGTTTCCGTGGTCACGTGGCCAGCGTGACTAGACACGGAACAACATTACCTTCCCACCGAGGTGGTCCCTATTTATCTACTCGCATTTTCACATGCTTTCGAACTGCTATGTTGGCAGGAGCTGGGGAAAGCAACGGGAGCTCACTCCGTTGCGTGGATTCGATCTTACGACTGCAGGTCTTCTGACCTTGCAGCACAAAGGCTTCTGCAGTTTAACTCGCAGTGCCACCATGTCCCATTTAACTCTTGGTACCCGTCTGCAAAGGCAGAACAAAGGGCTATTTTGCATCTAGTGAACCGTCCCTGAAAGGCTGCATGCCCTGTGCCAGAAAGATAAGGGTTAGCTCGCTTAAAGGGGGAGGGTGGATAATTTTAAGTGGAAACACAAGTGGATGGGATCTTTTTTCATGAGTTAAACCATATGCCTGTGTGGACAGGCTCTTCGTGACCTTTCATCTTTCTCTCTCTTTCCCAGAGATGAAAGCTCCACATGCCTCTATATAGTGGAAGTGGATAGCTCCTTAAATCAGTGAGCAAACCAGCCCATCCAAGTTTTAGGCTTGGTTTTACCTGAACGCTGTCCCCCAAATAGGTGAAACACCTTTGATAGATCCCTTAAATTCAGACTAAAATTTAGACTGGATTCATTACTCGACTGATGCTGAAGATACTAACCTTTACTGACTGTATATGAACCACTTCTGTTTCCTCCTTTTATCTTAAATTTGTTGAATTCCTAGAATGGCCCTTCTGCTTTTTTTTTCCTAGCTTATCCATGGGATAAATCCAATCTGAAATCAGTACCACTAGACTTGGACCAGTTTAAGAATCTGGATGCTTATGCGTCAAAGGTAAACTATATTTTATTGTGGTATATATTCCGGCATAGAATCTATAAGATCAGGGTTTTTTCTAGTTTAGAGTCGTGCAGATTTGTGGTTTTACACAACAACCTGTAGAATTCTTCGGACTGAGAAATTCTGGGAGTTGTAGTCCAAAAACACACACCTGCACACTTCTACCCCAGATGTTGCTAAAAGGTAACTCTCAATCCTAGACAGCATAGCCAAGGGGAAAAAACCATGGGAAGTATATAGTACGTACAACCTTCTGCAGGCAGCCAAAGAAATTCCTTTGCAGGCAGGCTTTTCCTTGATGACTGGTCGTCTGAGAGGGGGTTTAAATGGACTGTTGTGCTCTGTTGTTTTAAATATGCTTTAATATTGATCTTAGCTACCATTTTAATACATTACTGGTTTAATTCTTTTTACATATACTTACTGTTTTAGCTTTTAAATACTGTACTGTACTGTTTTAGTGATGTAAGCCACCTTGGGTCCTTTTGGGGAGAAAGGCAGCATAGTGATATTTAAAATAAATAAACAAACAAACCTCTGAAAGGCCATATACATTCCCCGCCCCGTGCCAGACTGCCAGTGTTACTGAGGTTTTCTTTCCCCACCTAGATTTGGAATGTGATAATATTATCAAAATGCAAAGTTTGGAAAAGTTATGTTTTGCCCTGCTTAACTCAGAATCTCTGAGACAGCATGACTAATAGCTTTCCCAAGTCCTGGAATTCTCAGTAACCTCATCAAACTACTATTCCCAGAAATCTCTGGGAGTTGAGAGGAGACTCTAGAGCCAAACCACGTGCGGCAAAGGGAGGCCCCGAATCAAATTTTCTGGTTACTTCAAAGCTGCCACAGAGGGCTCAAATTAGGATTAGATCAATTACGCTGAGGAGGAAGTCATTTGGAATCATTTGGTCTTTCCTTCAGAATGATTGTTTACACTCAGGGGTATGTATCCAATTGTAATCAGCAAATTGATTGATGATTGGAAAGGTAAAAACCCCATGTGGCCTTTGTGCAGATTCCAGAAGGCTAGGTAGTAGATTATGGATAAGCTAATTCGTAGTTGATTGACTAAAACAGAGAGAACTGGATCCAGACTTAACTCAGATAGGAATCCAACGGAGCTCATTGGACGTTATGGACCACAAAGTATGTTTGGAATGGCAGCCTACATTTTCTTTAATCAACTGACAACTTCTCCATATAAACTCCTTTCAAATCTACTTCTGTTTTACAAAACAGGTGAATGTCAGGAACAGTGTCGAAAATCTGGTGGACACCTTGCTTCAAAAAGCCCACAGTGATCTGGAGAAAGTCCGAGCCATTTGGGTGTGGATATGCCATCATATACGTAGGTTACTGGGTTGGCAGGTTGTTGTTGTTGTTTTTTCTGTGCTGGAGGTGCTATACTTTTGCCAACCAAATAAATGGCAGGCATTCCACAGGTGAAGCTTTCTTGCCTCATCATACTGTGGAATGCCCATTGCTCAAAGACAGAGGGTGCCTTGTTCTTAAACTGTCCTGCTCTTATACAGCTGGTACCGGTGAGTCAGGATTTAACCCCTGTTCAGAGGCACTCTTGGTCAAGGTGCGTGTGGAATTCCCAAAGCCAAGCTGAATTAGAATACTGGGGACTGGATACCACGGTCCGGAGAGCAAGCAGACATATTCTTGGGATAGCATTCAGGGCTCTTTTCATAAGGCCAACAACAGGTCAACAAAATTGTAAGAGAACAGGCAGGGACATCGTAATCACAAAGCAGGTCCAGATGTTTATGAATCAAGGGAAGAAGAACACTGAAAGCTAGGAGGGAAAGGTTAAGAACACCCAGAAACAGATGTTGCTTCTCAGCAACGCACGAGTGTCTGGAGTCTGTTTTTATCTGTCTGCTGCATGGGTGCCTCCTTTATACCAGATGCCGCTAAGCAGCTACTGGAATCTTTTTGCTACAGTCACTGACTTCGCCTCAGTTGGGCCTTAATCTTTCAATGCTGCCAGAGGCTGGGTGTGGAACCTTCTTCCCAGGCTTCATTTCTGTCTGGAGGAAAGAAGGTTTTCTCTCGGCAGAGCAGTTTCCACCTTGGGGTCCCTGGTCCGGGTCTCTGGGCTGGAGCCTTCTCCCTGAGGAGGCGGAATCTATCAAATAAGCCATGAGGGAGGGAAGAAAGTTCTGTAGCAACAGTGAAAACTAGCCCTCCAACTATGGAGGGATTTCGTAGCATCTCAAGATAACCTCCTAAGTGACCTGATCAAAGCACAAGCTGCATCAATTCATTTTAATTTTAATTTTTAGTGGGAAGTAGCAGGAGGTTTTTTTTCCAAAGGAAAATGTATCTGTGATTCTATCTTAAGTTTATGGTTAGCCACTTATGAGTCCCATTTTGTCAGAAAGACAGGACATCTTTCTTGTGAGGCTGTTTTAGACCTTTTTGAGTGCATTTTCCCTAGTTTTGGGGTCAACTTGGGCAAATTACTTTTCTGGACTAAAAATTTTCCCTGGTTTTGGGGTGACATGCCACACATAAACTTGGGCAAATTACTTTTCTGGACTAAAGATCTCTGGCTCTCCAAGCCAACATGGATAGTGGTGATGTTGGCTAGGGGATTCTGGGTGCTGTCATGCAAAAAATGGAGTTTTCCAAACTCTGCATCTCACTCACACTTGGCTTTATCTCCTCAGAATATGATGTGGAAGGATACCATGACACAAGCAAGAGGTCTTGTGAGCCTGCAGATGTTCTTCGGTCAGGAAAAAGTGTATGTTCTGGATATGCTGGGCTTTTTGAACAAATGTGCAGGTAATTGTCAGTGTGACTGACGGGTTATTCCTGCAAAGGTTTCAGACAACTCCTCCATATCAGAGACAACAGCCTGGTGCCCCCTGGTGCTGTTGTTGTTGTTTTGTGTACTCTTCTGAGACTGTATTGAAATGCTGTTTTGTGCAACATACAAACAGCCATGGGCAAATATTGTACTGAAAGTACTGGGTCCTGCACTGGTAGCTTTGATGTTAAAGTTGCCATCCACATTACACAAGGCATGGATCTGATCTGCTCAGTGCCTTTTCCCTGCCTGTCCCTATTTTTCTGTTTCCAGCTGAAATACCAATTTTATTTGTTTCAGGGGGCAGAGATTGGGTCTCATTTCTGTGTCAGAGGTTTCCAGGTAGAAGACTATTAATTAGCTCTTTATGTTAAGTTTTTTTTTAAAGCTCAAGTGGTGAAGTTTGATTTATAACAGTTTAGAAAGGGGTTTTCCTCCTGGAAATAAATGATTTCTCCCCAAAAAACATGCCTTCTAAACTGAAGTACAGATGCAAATTCCGGTAAACCCAGGTAAGAACTACAACCAACCACAATTCACTAGAGTGGAGGAAATTTACATGTGGATTAGTCTTCAGATGGAATCATATTTAAAGGGATCATTCTACTTGGCAATATATTCTACTTTCGCCATAAGAATTCTCATGGCCAAGCTCCCACTAAGATGTCCCTCCAGTTCAGCAAATAACTTGCTGCTGCTTCCAGCTTTCATGTAATAATTAAGGCCACTGATCCGATCACCTCCTGGCAAATAGAAGGGGAAGATATGGAGGAAGTGACAGATTTTACTTTCTTAGACTCCATGATCACTGCAGATGGTGACAGCAACCATGAAATTAAAAGACGCCTGCTTCTTGGGAGGAAAGTGATGACAAACCTAGACAGCATCTTAAAAACCAAAGACATCACCTTGCCAACAAAGGTCCGCATAGTCAAAGCTATGGTTTTTCCAGTAGCGATGAATGGAAGCGAGAGCTGGACCATAAAGAAGGCTGACCGAAGGCTCTGGTCCATGGGGTCACGAAGAGACGGACATGACTTAACAACTAAACAACAACAACTACTGTGTAATTACTACTACATTTTAGTAAAGGCTAATTAGTAGTTTCCTCTGTACTGCATTTTTAAAAAGTGACTTCTTGTTTAATTGTATGGGCATAGCATAGGGACGTGGTGGCGCTGCGGGCTAAACCGCAGAAGCCTGTGCTGCAGGGTCAGAAGACCAAGCAGTCATGAGATCGAATCCATGCGATGGAGTGAGCTCCCGTCACTTGTCCCAGCTCCCGCCAACCTAGCGGTTTGAAAGCATGCAAATGCAAGTAGGTAAATAGGGACCACTTCGGTGGGAAGGTAACAGCGTTCCGTGTCTAAGTCGCACTGGCCATGTGACCACAGAAGATTGTCTTTGGACAAACACTGGCTCTATGGCTTGGAAACGGGATGAGCACCACCCCCTAGAGTTGAACACGACTGGACAAAAATTGTCAAGGGGAGTCTTTACCTTTTTACCTTAGCATTCCTGAAGGGCCATAATAATTTCACTTCCTGTGGTTGTGTATTAAGCTATGGTTTTATCTTTGCTTACGGAAAAATTTGAGCTATTTTATATGATTGCAATGCATACTTGTTAAGTTACACTTAACAAATTGAGAGCTTCTACAGTTCCTAAACGAAACAAGAAAATGGCTTACTGATTTATTTATATTCAAACAAGCCATCCTTTTTGCTGCATATTGAAGCATTAAAACTTCCTGCTGCTTTTCATGCTGAGAACCAGAATTGATTCATTTTAGCTATTCTGAAATGCTGTGGCAATAGTGAATTAACAAGAAACAGCCTATAAGCCTTTTGTTAAAACAGTGAATGGAAGAACCTTTTAATTAAAAGGATAAGATACCTGGAAAACCTCAGTACCATTTTCCTAGTCATCACCAGAGGCTAAAAATCACAGTCAATCCAGTCTGCGGCAAAAAGATGGGAGGAAAATACAGTATAAGAAATCCTGGAGTGGAGCTTGTTAGCAAGAATGTTTTTGGCTTACTCATAAAAACAATTAAATGTCAGATATCTATTTCAGATATGTCTTTGTGTTGTACAATTACATTTTCCAATACTTTTTCATTCAATTAACAAATATATGAGATAGTTTTTGCCTGATGAGGGACAACAACATAAGTTTTGGGAGCAGCTAATATAAAATCTTCCACAGAACGTGTGGAGGGGCGTAGAGTGAGTTGCATCTTCTTCTCTGCACTGTGCTGATACAAAACGTGATTTGACCGGTACAGCCATGGTCAAATCACGTTTTAAGCAGATTAAAGAGTGTGAAAGCAACCACAGTCCTCTTGACCTTCGTGATGTTCCTGAATGGTATGTTTCTTTGTCTCAGCCTTGCAGGGATACGATGCAAGAAGTTGTCAGGCTTCTCCAAAGGGGCTTCGTACAAGCCAGGAAAAGTCTTTAAGGGGGATAGCGATCATGCCTGGAATGCTGTTTACCTAGACGGAGGGTGGCACCTTTTGGACAGCACCTGGGGCAGTGGCTTTGTGGAGAACTCTTGTACCAAGTTCACTTTCAGGTATGTTTCTGTTGGCATCAAGCTGATGAATGCTACTGTGGGGCCTTCCATTGTTACTTCTCAGTGGGTTTTTTTTGGGGTGTGTGTGAGTGGTTTCTATTTTTAGTTTTATTTCTGTGGCCAGAATGGCTGATGGTCGGATTCCAAAAGATCTCCTGTATGGAGAATTAGTCCAGGGAAATCGCCCCAGAGGGAGACCAGAGCTGCGATACAAGGATATCTGCAAGCGGGATCTGAAGGCCTTAGGAATGGACCTCAACAGAGGGGAAACCTTGACATTGAGCGTTCAGCCTGTCAGCAGGCAGTGCATCATGGCCTCTCCCATTTTGAAGAGACCCTTGTCCAGCAGGCCGAGGCAAAGAGGCAGTCCCAAAACCAGCCAAATCAGGGAGCTGGACAGGGGACAGATTGGATTTTTCTTCAATGTGGAAGGGATTGTCATTCTCAAATTGGCCACTGTTCGAATTAGACACTGTTCGAAGTCCTCTATTCAGAGCACGTTACCATAGTCTCTCAAGACTGAAGGATGCCTAATCTAATCTTCAGTAGCCACTTTTGCAGAATTTTGATTTGTAAAGGAGGCTGGTTATTCTAAGCTGATGCAGTTCAGAGAGAGCCAGTGTACTATATTGGGTAGAGAGACAGACTAGGACTCAGGAGACCTGGATTCAAATTCCTGTCTGGATCATGGAAACTCACTGGGGAAGGCGATAGTTGTAACAGAGAAGCTGTTCAGTGCTAGGCCGCCCACTGTCAGGGACCCAACTCCTAATAACTCTCATGAACTTCACCACCAAGCAGCATAAAAGGAAGGCGTAAGTAGAGGTGCCAATACCCCATGTGGGAGAGACCACAGAGGCCCTAGCTGTCCGTGTTTATGTTACATTTTATTTTAACTGCATGTAATGTAAATAAATAATAAAAATACACTGTAACAACACACAAAATTAGAATGCAGTATTTATGATATTTATGAAATAAACTGAACTGCACAGGGAAGATCTGCAAAACCAGGTGAGTTTTCCACATATGTCCAACAAGAAAAAAAATTCAAGTATGTCAAGTATCAGAGAGAAGAGTATTCTACATAGTAGGTATCATTCACCACACCAAATTGTCTGCTTTGAATGACTGCATGTGAGGCTGTAGGTGCATGTGGCGCCACAAGGTGGCACCTTTCAGATAATCTTCAAGAACCAAATACCATAGGTTTTTAAGATGGTCTTCCAAGTTGTACAAAGTTTTATAAACAGAACCACCTCAGCAGCAGATAGGCAGCCAGTGTAATTATTTCAGCAGCAGTGTTATGTGCTGTTGACAGTTTGTCCCGTCCTACTTGGAAATCTAGTCGAGGTCTTCTGCACTAGTAGCTGCAGCTTCTGTATGAACCTTAAGGGCAGTCCCATAAAGAATGCATTGCAGTAGTCTAGTCTTGCCTGGACCACTGCATTTAAACTATTTCTGGACACAACCTACTGAACTGGTAGATCCTTGGTTATTTACGACAAATCACAAACATTTTCAAAATCCCAGTATTAACCATATAGATAGCAGGACGCTTCCCTCCTCCACCCCAAACTGGCTTCATTCATTCATTCATTCATTCATTCATTCATTCATTCATTCACTGCATTTATATCCTGCCCTTCTAGTGACAAAGCACTACTCTGGGCAGCTAAGAGTGATAAAAAGAAATAATAGTCCACTCACCAGCACATATACCCAGTTTTAAAAGTGGCAGAAAGGCTCCAGAGGCAACAGTAATTAAAACCATTTAAAAACAAAGGAGTCTGTGATGATGTTACATGGGGGAGATGTTACCAAAGGCCTCTTTGAAAAGCTCAGTATTCACCCTTTTGCTGAAGGTCAGAAGGGAGGGAGCCTCGCAAACATCAACACGCAATGTGTTCCACAGCCTTGTGGCCACCACTGAGAAAGCTTGGTTGTTTTCCAGGCCTCTCCCGGGGTGGCCACCTGCAAATGCAAAGCTTGGAAACATTGGGTTCCCTGGGTAGACAATCTTAAAGAGAGATGCTCCAACAGGTAACAAGGTCCCAAACTGTGAAGGGCTTTGTAACTGATTGTTTTCCAGGCCTCTCCCTGGGTGGCCACCTGCAAATGCAAAGCTTCCCCGGGTAGACAATCTTAAGAAGAGATGCTCCAACAGGTGACGAGGTCCTAAACTGTGAAGGGCTTTGTAAGTAAGCAGTAGCACTTTGAATTAGGCACAGAAGCAAAGAGGCAACCAATGAAGGCGAGCCAGGATCAGGGAGATATGATCATACCTCATTGCTTCCAATACTAGCCTGCTTGCCACATTTTGTACCTGTTGAAGCTTCCATGTTGCCTTCAAAGGCAGACCCATGTTGAGAGCCTTGGAACAATTGATTCTAGAGATTCCCTATGCATTGCTAAAACCCAGAAACAATAGGGGGAGATAGAACTATATACATGTTGAGAGCCTTGGAGCAAATGATTCTAGAGATTACCTATGCATTGCTATGCATTGCTATGCAGAAACAATAGGGGGAGATAGAACTATATTTGGTTGTAAAAATAGTTTTGTGCAAGTCCTATATCTCTTATTGGAAAAAAAAGTCCTGGGCTCAGCGTGGTCTTAGATCAGACCTGGGCAAAGTGCAGCCCGAGGGCCACATACAGCCCGCAAGCCGCTCCTGTCTGGCCCGCCAGTCGTCCAAGCACTTGTTCAAACCCAAGACAGACTGTACCCGCCAGTCGTCCGGTGTTCAAGCACTTGTTCAAACCCAAGACAGACTAGATTTCTCTCACTGAACAAAGTTGAACATCAAAACCATTTATAGCTTTTGTCTAAAGTTGGTCAGTTGCTTATCTTTAACGTATCTCAAAAAAATCTCTTTAGTATTTGTGAAGATTAACAAGTTTAAAATAAAAACAATCATAACATCACTGTTTCATTTAATTTTTAAGTAAAGTTGGTTCGGCCCCCGAACACAGTTCAGATTTTTCATGTGGCCCCCCTATAGAAATTAATTGCTCACCCCTGTCTTAGATGCACCTTGTTCTGCGGTTCTGTGTCTTGAGCCTTTATTTTACGTTACATCACTCCAGTCGGTTGACCTCAGGATTCTAATGAACAACAAAGTAGATCCCATAAATCCTACGTCTCTGCACCTTTCATTTATGCAAGTTATGCCGCAAGCTTTCTCAGATAGATTTACCTGGGACTCGTGGAAGAAAGTAAATGAGATGCTACAATATTTCACTTCCTCCTTTTGTGCAGTTACAACGAATTTTACTTCCTTACCCACCCTGCGCTGTTCATTAACGACCACTTTCCAGAAGAAGAGGAGTGGCAGCTTTTAAGATGGAAATTAACTCTGCAGCAGTTTGAGCGTAATGCGTGGTACCGCTCCAAGTTTTATTCACTGGGGCTGCTGGCGTCTTCCGCAGAAACATCCACAATTGAAACAGGTAAAATCAACAAGAATCACTCACCCTGCTCCTTTTTATCATCACAGTTGCATCCTCATGCTTATTGAGGGGGGACTGAAGTTTCTTCACGTTCGTGTGTGTGTGTGTGTGTGTGTGTGTGTGTGTATACATATATTTGTACATGTGTGTATGAATAAACACACACACACACAATATGCTGACTTGGGCAAACTACATGGTCCCAGAACACCTTGGAAGAACAGAATGTTCAAAAACGTCTGAATACTCCATACCTCAAAATCACTGGAAAGAGTCACTAGTTGGAATCCACTCCACATCACATAGCGATTATTATTACACAGATACATACATCATAGTTCTCCCAGAACTGTGACTTAAGGCAGTTTACGGCAACCTTCAAAACAGGTACAGATTATTTATTATTTTTATTTATTAGACTTCTACCGCACCCATCTAGACCAAAGGTCTACTCTGGGTGGCATTACAAATTTTTAAAAACAGTGAAACCAATAAACGTATACTATGAGTCCAAGATGGCAAAAATATCAAAATTTAAAGATACAGCAGAAGGGAAAGCCTGCCCAAATAGCGAGGTCTTAACTTTACTCCTCAAAACACCCAGAGAGAGAGAGCCAGGCAGATCTCCACGCAGTTGTTCCAGAGGGGAGGAGCCACTGCCGAGAAGGCCCGGTTCCTCGTGATTTCCTTCTGGACCTCCCTGGGCATTAGGCCAAGGGATGAGACTGCAGATGAGAAATCAGAAGACTGAGAATCGGGAGGGCAGCTATGCAGTGTCTAAGGATGTGTTGTGGGGTGAAATAATCAAGTGAAACAAAATACAACCTTGAAAATGAAGGTGGTGCTTTAAAAAATGAAATTTGAACAGCAAATGTTAATGTAGGTGAATAGGTTGACTAAAATGGGAGAGCACCACTCAATGTCTATAGCAAAGACATTGCCTTATACTGTCATCAGTTTTAATAGACCATTTGAGCCTTTTCTCACCTAAAACGTGCCCCAGCATTTTGTGCTCTGTTAATATCACTGATTTTGTCAGAATCTTAAGGGGGAGATGGTCACTTTCTGGCCTGCCATCGATTGCTAGGGAGTGTACATAAGGGAGAATGGCAGAAGATCCTATAACATAGTCTACCACACTAGCACCCTTATCTGTTAAAAAACTGTAGTGGCCATTTGAGGTGTCTAGGCAAGATCCATTTAGGCATACAAGATGGAATTTGTAAATCAATTGAAAGAGGAATTTGTCATAGTTGTTGATTACATTGTCTTAGAGGGTCAGGAGGTGCTTTTTTCCCTCTTCAAGCTCCAAGCCAAGGGCTTTTTCCATCGTGCAAACACTGTTTCCCATTCTAGCATTAAAATCACCACAAGTTATAAAAATAGTTAGGATATTCAGAAAATAATGTATCAAAAAGGGCCTTATTCCGTCAATAAGTGAAGGAGGTTGACATCAGATTCCTCTGTCAACATTTTTCTCAAATATTATACCGTA